ATATTTACATATGTAACATCTAAACTTTACATTTATACCACCGAAATATTTCTTATAACATACAAATTACCACCATGTTGACTTCTAAACTGTGGGAACACTATTTATGCATAGAAAATGTGGTGTGTATATATATATACCACCTAAACTCTGTCATTGCCCCTTGTTATACGTAGAAAATCACATGATTATATAACTCGTTGTAGCCTTCTCAGAAAACTAATCCAAGAATAAGGAGGCAGCTGCAAAATTGGAAAACAAGGGATTAATGGCCCAAAATGGGATAGCACCCTTTTTGACAGGCCCATTAAAGGACCAAAATAACAGCCTGTTGTTTGAGCAATTCAAAATAGTAAAAGGGGGAAAAAACACAATTTACATACATGCCACACAATTGCCATGCATTTTTATATCAAGCATCCGAATTTTAGTTTTGATATTTATAACACTCCAATCATTCATGCAACATCAAAATATCAAACTATTACATTTAAAAAGTTAAATACAAAATATGTTAAAATAAAACATATTAAGGGTTGGAGATGTAAATATATAAGAAATTTATAATATGTATGTAGAACTTTTAAGAAATAAAAATGTAATTATAAAAATAATAGTGATAAATTTTAAATTTTAATAAATTAAGCAAATTGGCAATCGTTATAGAGTTAGTGACTGCTAGATTAGACAAATATTGGGATAGAAGGATGATCGTAGTCACATTGTCTCAATTTCAATGAAAAAAAGGGGGGCATTTTACATGAATACCGTGTAATTCTTATGTACTTACATGTCTAATATCTAAACATTCATATTTACATGCATACCTCTCAAATCATTAACACAGTAATAAAACAGCACAATCACTATCTTCTTAAAAGTGAAACACACATTTTCAAGCACGAGTTTATGACACCAAGATGTCATTAATGTAAATATCAAATTTTATGTGATAGATATGCAAATACATAAGAATTTTTTTATGTATGTAAATTTCCCTTGAGAAAATGCTTTGAATCTCAATCTTTGGTATGCAAGTAATTTGTGTGTGTAGGGGTAACAAAAATTACTATATTATATACCTCTCAATAAATCTACATTATCAAGCAATATTAGTAAATTTTGAAGTGAAATATAAATAAATTATTGGACAATACTATTATGTTTTAGACATTTATATTATATGTCTATCTTGATTATATTTATAAAAATATATTATTATATTTATAAAAATATATTATAGGGGTTTTGCGTACATGCAATCAAAAATTTTTATATTTATATATCTCACACCAAAACTTTTATAATTACAAACATAATTTAAAAAGCAACACTCATTATCATCTTGTAATGGTCAAATCCAACTTTTCATCCATACATAAAGTGACATGTGTGTAAAAATGAAACTTTCGGTG